TGCAAGCCCGTACACGACTAAGGTAATAAAAGTCCCAACGCGTCCCTCCTGCCCGGAAGCGCACCTGTGATCGTGGCTTGTTTGTTGCAAGCTGACGTCCCCCTTCCCCCCTTACTTGCCCCCCCTTCCCCATTTCCCTCACCTGCATGTTTCAAGTCTCGTAAGACTTTCCCTGACTTATCTTACTTGTTAGAATAAAGAGAGAGCGAAGGCAGATTAAGAGGTGCAGCCTTGTCATTTCCCTGGAGAATGGAGAGGAGGGTGAGGGGCTGAGGGGGGCACAATTTGTCAATGATTGGGGAGATGCTGGTAGACAGATAATATATATATATTACACAAGTGGCACCGCCACTACAAAAGTCTCCTATTCCTTAATTGTCAATCAATACAAACGCACGGCCTCGAGAAGCGCTTGCCCTTGACTATCGACCCTCGCTTGGTGGGAGCTCGAGGCAAGGGAGAAAAAGAAAAGGAAAACCAGAACCACAACAACGAAAAGAAGAAACTTCATCAAACACAATCGGAGGGCAAGAGGCCCAAGAAGACTTTACTCATCGGCCGAAAATGTGCGTCATGGACTATAAGTACCGTGTCTGTCCGTGTCTTCACGCCAGGTGCCCCCAGACCAACGCCAACGACCAAATCGTCTACATAGACGGACGTGCTCACCATCTCGACTATCCCTTCCCCTACGAGTATGTAGAGGAGGGGAGCAAGGTGTGCGATCTGGAGAGATACAGAACATTCAACCCGTACACGCCAGCAAGCTCCATGTGTCGCAACTTTGTCCCCGGGTTCCTGCACCCCGAGGTGATTGTGGCAGACTCACCATGCTTGAAGTGTGTGTCGTGTTTCAACATGCCATAGAGGGGAATAATGGCAGTAATGGGATTCGATGGCTATTGGGGGTCGTAAGCGCCTTGGGGTTGACGGGGTAATCTTGACTGGCTGGCCGTGTGCTTCTCACAAGACCGGCATGGCCCAATCCACAGTGAAAAGGAGATGTTTGAGCACGATGTGGGCGGCTGCTTGTCGAATCGGGGGGTTTGAAAAATAAAAGAGGGATACTTGTCCACTTGGCCGCATGACAAAGCGAGACTTTGGTACGTTAGCTTGATAATATTCGCAGAGCCCGTTCTACTCTCATCGTAATCCCGGAGATGCTTTGCTGACTGAACGTTCTTGGTAATAGGAAATGATCGGGGCTAAGTGATGCCAGGAAGCCGGTTTTCCTCTTTGGGATTTTATATATGACATTCCTTGCATTCACGAATGCCTGGCACTTCGTGTTCAGCTTTGTGGCCGAGACGGGTCACACCAAAGGCTAAGTCGATGATTAGATGTCCTGCTTGATCTGTGACACAGCAAGATCAATCAATACCCATTCACACGATTATGTGTTGGGTACTGAGCCTATATATTGCCCCTCGGACAGGAATGCAAGAAGACCGAGAAAAAGAGGAACGACAACAACACGTTTGCATGACCGACGGTACCCTTACCGACCAATCAACCATGACCACTCCAAAGCAAACTTTCTTGAAGTCAAGCAGCACCTCATTTCCCATCGAAAAAGTGACAACGGGGCCTTGGTCCGTAAAGGGGGGAACAAAACCAAGTGGACGGTCTTCGAGGCCTGCTCATGTGCGAGTTTCCCTGGTACCAGGTCGTCTGCCCCTGCCCGCAGGGTCGTTTCTACTGCTCCCAGATATGCTACGGCGTCATTGAATGGGACGGCCGCGATTACCACGTCCTGCCGCGCGCGGGGCCCCGGTATGCGGACCGGGGATATGCGTGTAGCTACGAGGTGCAGCGTCTTCGACAGCGGAGGGTCTCGATTCGCAACCCGACCGAGCTCGGGTTAGGGCGCAGGGACTGCCCTTTTACAAAGGCTTACCTCGAGCTTCGAGAGGCGAGGCCGATCATAGCTTCCCATAGGTGCAACGAATGTGTACAACTCTGTTTGAATGGAAATTTCGGCCCTTGGGGGTTTTAGACACTTTGTTGTTGTAGAGTCCAGTCACTTGGAGGCTATAAGTGCTTTCTCTGTTAGGCATGTGTGGTTTCATTACCTTGTTTTTCTCATACCCCGAGTTTCATTTGACGCAGTTCGTGGAATTGAATATCCTCGAGTTTTCTTTATACTTGGCTGCGATTAGTTGTGTACAGGCTCATGGTTTGGCAGCCATTGAGAAGAACTCTTACCGTGTAAAGCATGCAGAATGAGTTGGGTTTCAACAACGGCCTAACAGCTGAGAAGGCCGAGGCAACTGAACAGGAGGATGCTCTAATTAGTTAATTAATTAATTTAATTGAAGGCCCTTTCTACGCCCTGCTGGATGCCCATATTGCGAGTACCAACTCCACGATGATGTTGGTGTCCAGTGAGAGTTGGGCCAATCTCACAGACTTATCCTGGAATTAACCCAATTTTTCCACGTAATGGGGAAAACATATGGAAGTATCAATAGCAACGGCGGACAAATGCCACCTGTTAGATCTGGAGAGTGCAATTTAATTTAGGTAGTTTCTCGACTCTCTCGAATCCGTTGATGCCTCAAAATGGACTAGCCAAATTTTCAGCTCAGCTGCATCGCGCCTCATTCACGTCGCTCAACCTGACTCACTTCATCAATCCCTTTCGCGTAGATTTCCCATAATGCCAGGAGTCTCCCTGTTGCTTGCTTAGCAGATACTTTGAGAGCTGCCTCCTGCAGCGTCCTCCAACATGTCTGACGACGGCAATCACTCGCCGACAGACATCATCACCTACATCGGTGTGCCCCTGGCCGTGTTAGGAGGTAATTTGCCATTGAACCCATCCATTACCCTGCGTGTATCATGTAGGCAGCGCATCACGTGCACGTAACTAATCATCCTGCTGGAAAGTCCTGCCGATCCTGTACAACACATTCGCAACCCTCGTCTCGCTCTCGCGTATCAAGCGCATGCTGCGGCGCAGCCGCCTGCCCGCCCTGACGAGGAGCGATATCGTGAACCGCATCATCGAGATCGAGCTCCCGCGCTACGCCGTGATGCCCCTGGACCGCTTCCAGGACCGCGCCGAGTACTGGACCCTGTCGAGCCACCCGAGCTCGATCCCCGGCGGCACCTGGACCACCTTCAACTGGCGGACGCACTCCATCGGGATCAAGAACCAGCGCGTCGAGTACGCCGACCAGGTGCGCCAGCCGCAGGTCGACATCTCCTTCGACGAGCTGGTGTGCTACCTGCTCGACCTCGGCGCCGTGGCGAACCCGCTTGGCTGGAAGCTGCTGCGCTCCACGGGGCTCTGGACGCCCGTGGGCTGCTGCCTGATGACGTCTCCCGATGGGAAGGAGGACGCCCTCACCATTGCCCCGTCGGATGATGCCGATGGGAACCTCTCTCTGGCCGTTGCGTGGTCCAGTTCTTGGATCACGAGAGATTATGCCACCCTGCCGCCGTACTGGGTACGGCTGCCGCCACCCCCGGTGAAGGAGACGGCGGTAGAGGAAGTGCAAGCAGAAGGTTCACAGCCAGAAAGCTCTGCGGCACCTGAATACGAATCTCGACCCGGCTCGGAAAAAGGCCTGACGAAGGATGAGACTTCAAGGGGAAACTCGATCGAGCTGGACTCCATCCGGAATGAGAATCGCACCCATTCTAACAAAGGAATCACTTGCCAGATTTCCCTGTCCGGCATTGTCAGCGCTCTCACACAGCAAGAATTCTACAGCAACCAGAGCACGGTGAATCTTGACAGCCTCTACATTGACCATCTCCGCATCACACCTGGCAAGTCGAACGGGGTATGGTTCGCCAGCGCAGCGACTGCCCTGGGAACGACCAGTCAAACTATTCTGTGGAATTACAAGATCCCGGACGAGATCCTGTATTTCGCGAGGAAGGAGACGGTGCCCTGCGGCGTGCTCGAGGTCATCGGGATGGTTGACGAGTCGGATACGCCCGAGTGGGCAACGAAACACAACGACTACGGAGCATCACTCGACCAGTTCACGAGACAGCGCCAGCAGCAACAGGCTGCCATGGCTGCCGAGGCCCGTATGGCTCCGGCCCAGCGGGAGGCTGCGGCGAGAGACAGGATGCGTCAGGAAAACGAGCAACGCATGCAGGACAGTAAGACGGACCCCCTTGTTGTTGGCTTGCCTTGATATGTTAAAGTATAATCTTCCCTGCTGACCCGAATTAGTGCGAGACAAGCTGAGAACGCAACAACAACGACGAGATCAGCGCATGCTCGAGGCCCTGCAGAGCCCCAAATGGGACGGGAAACTTGTCGCCGAGCACTGCCTTCGTTGGCTGAAGAGCAGGAACTGCTGGGGTGAGAGGTCGACGGCGAAGGATGTGGCAGGGTTTTTGCTGCACAAGATGGTCCTCGATGGGGAGTTCTCCTCTGAGTTATGCCGCATGTTGGATCGGTGGAAAGCTTGGGGTGAAGTGGGGGGCATGAAGAAGGACGACTATCTGTTTCTCCAGGAGAACCAGACGATGTTTTCCAACGCCGCCATTCTGGTTGCTTTGATTCGGGATACGTCGGCGGCATCGGAAGGGACTGTTTCAATGGATCTACAGGAGTGTCTACGGATGTGGAAGAAGGTCAGGCTTGGCTAGATTCAGCACGCCTCTCATCATAATATATTTCGAAACATGACGCTCAACTTTCAAATACAGTTGGCCACTTATACTTGAAGATTCCAATACCCATTTTAGCCTTGGGCCTTGTGCCATAGCTGGACAACCACGTCCGTAATTATTTTATTGGCAGCACTCTAGTCTAAAACAAAAAAAAAAAAAAAAAGTAGGCCTTTATCTTCCCTTTTTCTTATACAAATCATTCACGTTTCATCCTAGACCGAATTGAACTGCGGGTGACGTTGATGGCCTGTGTTCAATTCTGCCGCTCGGATTCCTCAGCAATCCATCACTAGCATACATATGTCAACGGTAAAAGCAAAAACAACCCCATTATCTCCTCGTCTATTCCATCTCAATAGTGCCTATGACCATCTCATTAGAAATATGTCCGTACTTGGAATGCTATTTAGGAGGAACTCACCGGGCGGCTTTGACGTCATGTCGTAGGTCACACGTGTGATGCCATCAACCTCGTTGAGAATTCTGGTGGAAATCTTCTTTATGAGTTTCCAGTCAAATTCGTACGGCTGTTTTCCTGTTAGTGCTCATGCTGTTTCTCAACGCCTGCTGTGAACTTACGGTAGCCGACATGAAGTCACTGGTTACCACAGCGCGAAGAATGGCAATGAATCCGTACTATTTACCATGTTAGTTTTGGTAACTAAGAAGTGGCAGAAAGATAGAGAGACATACCACGCGGGCATCTCCCTGTACGCCAACAGCTCTATCTTGGCTGATGGCAACATAAGCTTGGCTGATGTCGTCGTAGATTCCAGCGGCCCTGATCTCTGAGATGAAGATATGATCGGCCCGTCTTGATAACTGGACTCTCTCAGGGGTTACTTCGCCCAGGATACGGATAGCGAGACCGGGTCTATTTGGTTGACACGTTAGAGCGAGTATATGAGAGGGGAGTTCGAGGTACCTGCCCTGGGAATGGGTGTCGCATCAGAACATCTGAATGAATACCCAACTCTCGTCCGAATTGGCGAACCTCGTCCTTGAACCTGTGTTTTTTATTAGGCCTTGTCGGGTGCCACGGTAAAGGTACAGACACTTACATTTCGCGTAGCGGCTCGACCAATTTCAACTGCGACGTTGTCAGTCTAAGAAAAAAAAAACCACGAGGAATGTCAGAACATCTGACGAGTCAAGGAAATACATACTTTGAGTGTATCAGGCAAGCCTCCGACATTGTGGTGGGTTTTAATTGTCGCCGCAGGGCCTGTTGGTTTCGATGTTAGCTAAATTCAAGTGTGATAGGGGAAGAAACCTACCTTTGTAAGACACACTCTCAATCCTAGACAGATGATTAGCTTGAGACCATAGAGGGCGCCAGATCAAACATACACATCGGGGTAAAGCTACCATATTATTGTCAGCATAGAAACTTGGCTAGGCGGGAGTGGTACTCACTGTTCCTTGCAGAAGATATTTGACCGGTCCCACGTCGGGCTTGGCCTCGGCTTCCTTTTCAATTCGGATCGCTTCCTCTTGGAAAAGGTCGATGACTTTTCTCGCATGTTAGAGTTGAAAAATGAGTTGAGTGTGTACATGAACATACAGGTTTTCCCAATGATCTTGCGCTTCTTCTCAGGGTCCGTCACGCCCTTGAGGCGGGAGAGGAACAATTCACCACCATCAACAACAGTCAGGTTGATTCCGAGGTGTTCCCCAAGTGTCTCCTTGACCTGTTCGCATTCGTTGAGTCTCATCACTCCATTGTCGATGAGAATAGCGTGAAACCGATCTCCGATCGCTTCCTTCATGACGGCGGCAGCTGGATTTTTTTTCAATTAGATATAATTCAAGTTAGAGACAAGGGGGAAAAGGCTGGGGAACGAGAGATAGGGGGAGAGCGAGGTCAACAATGTCATAAAAATTATGAAAAAGAGAAGAAGAAAGGCAAGGTGTACGCTGGGTCAGGATTGGGAAATACAGAATGTGAAAAAGAAGCCAAGTGTGGTTGACGTTGTGCCAACAACGCGGATCAACGTCCAAGAATGGATCCCGAATGGACAGGATATTTCAATCACTTACCGACGCTGGAATCAACTCCCCCCGAGACGCCTCCTAATACTTGGTCATTGGGACCAACAAGAGCTCTGATGCGGGCAATTTCTTTAGCCCTGAAGTTCTCCATCTTCCATGCTGGGTTGGCACCGCAAATGTTGATGGCGAAATTGTGCAAGATCTCGGACCCACGGGGAGTCTATAACAATTAGCCCACAAACAATATTGTATCAATGCCATGAATTAACTTACATGCTCCAGTTCGGGGTGGAATTGGACGCCTTTGACATATTTGGTTAATTTACGTCTCAAGGGGCAACGGGAACCAAGGTGAGACCTACCAAAGATGGGCTTTTGTTTATGCGCAATGCCGGCAAACTCAGAGTTTGCGGATGTTGCAATAATGCAAAAGTCAGTAGGCAGCTTCTTCAGTTTATCAAAGTGGCTCATGTAGACTAGAGCGTGTCAGATTGCGGTTGTTTAACCAGAGAAATATCTGGGACATCTTACCGTCCATTTCCGAGCCAATGCCCTCGAAGAGACGGTTGATCTTCGCGTCTCCCGAGTCATGGACCTTGAGTTCTGTATGTCCGTACTCTAAAATGATGTCAGGAGAGTGCTCTATTTCTGAAAAGCCCGAGTTTACGAACCTCGAACCTCTCCACGGGCAACGTTGGTGGGATCGATTCTCCAAGCAAGTTCCTATACTTGGTCAACTTTGTCCGCTGACAAGGACATTGAGCTGCAAAATATTACCTGGCAGCCATAGCTAGACAAAACAGGTTAGAAAGAGGGCGACATGTGAGTAGATGGAAGTGGTCAATCCTACCAGATACCCAAAATTGGCAGATCAAGATCGAAAATGGCGGGATCGACGTCTTCAACGGTCAGTACGCGATGTATTATCGGAGAGTAGGGGAGTCTTACGAGGTGCCTCTGAGTCATAGACGGACGAGGGGCCTGTGTAACTTGTTAGTTCACCCACATAGACAACACAATGAAGAATATGGCTCGTGCAAATACTGCCGAACCGCACCAATCGGTTGATTGCATACCTCCGGAGAGAATGATACCCTTCGGCTTGAAGGGCAGATCTTGCAGCTTTGTCGTACATGCGAGCATCTCGCAGTAGACCCCGAGGTTTCTCAATCGCCTGAGAATGAGGTGCCTTTACCAGCCAAAGCCGTCAGCTTACGTCGTCGTTTTTAGGGCAGCATGGTGACAAACGAGGTCTGTGATCCAAAGTCCAGGACGAGAATAGTCTGCATCTTGTTAGCCAACAAGTCTTCACATGGTTCCTTTGATTGCGACGATTCTGCCTGCTAGAACCACTCGATCACCCATCCGCCAGCTGTCTCCCATAATGATCCTAGTTTGGCGCACTTTATATCTTCTCGTGGTATGGATTTATTCGAACGTTTCGCGTGTGGTTCGGGAGACAGCGTGGTGGTTGCTGATCGAGTGGGTGGCAGGTAGTCGGGACCGTCAAGGAACGCTTTGGCTGGTGTGTATCTGCAGGAAATACACGTACATCAAACTCATTGTGGGGCTGCCCCTGTTCGATAATGCCCGACATCTTGAAAACTTGCTCGAATACGAATCGTAAGGCTGTTGGTGTTGTTCAGTTTGCAAGGAAGTGTTGCGATGTCGCTGACGAAAGAAAAAAATCCCAATTGCCCCTCCATGTGCCCCGCCAATGAATTATCTTATCTTCCTTATCAGTGGTTTACCCACTAGCCGGGTACAGTGGGGGTAATTTTTAGTACACTCTGACCTCCTACCTAGGTAAGGTAAGGTAGGTAACGAAGGCAGGTATTTGCACCGCGCGACACTTGCGCGAGGAGGCGTACGCAGGTGAAAACACTCTTTCTGGTTTTTGACCAATATGCGCTTAGTACGGCGGAGCATGCTTCAGCCCAGATACCAGGGCATACCTCAGGTGAGGTTAGGAAACAGTAGCAGAATGCAGAATGCAGAATTCAGAAAACGGTTAATGGTGTGGAAACACAAAACCGTTATCTTAAGCCAAAACCACCAGTCAATTGCCAAGGGCGAACGGTTTAATGATATAATACGGTCACCTCCCTCTGTTCACCTCTCTCCCTGCTTCTCTATCGCTGATTTGCGGTGCTATGTGACTTCTCAACCGCACCATCTTGATGAGTCTCAATTCGGAGTAGCCGGTCACCAAATAACCAGGGCGAATGGTTTAGTGGTATAATACTCCCTTAGCATCTTTCAGTCTCTGAAAACTTGGGAGTGGTCCAGGGTTCGATTCCCTGTTCGTCCAATCGTGGTGGTTGTTCCCATCGTGAACTTTCATTTTTGGTGTTTTTCCAAAACACCATCGAAAACCGACATTTTGTTCGGATTAGGTAACCATGAAGCCGCTGGTTCTTTTTTACACGCATCGAAACCAACTACAAGATTCATCAACTAATCTACCAATGAAGCCCATCAGACCTTTGAAAGCCCCGATGGGGGTAGCGGGAATTCACCCATATGCATTACAATAATGGGAAGGTGTGTGTGCACTAACAAGGCTGATGGCCAGGTCTGGTGGGTCACGTGTATTCCGATAAGATAAAGGACCATAGGAATGTCAAATTTTCACCCTTGGAGGGGAAACAAGTTGCGCAATAAGCCCATCAATCAAATACCTTTACAAGTATAGAGATCGCTAGCTACTGCTACGTACATAGTCTCAAAAGACCTCACTAAAACCAAACATCATTATAGCTGCAAATCCTACCTGGCGACAGCAAAATTGAAGGGTCCCGTGAAGATCGGCCCCACTTTCGCCGGTCTCATCGGGCAATGGTGGGGCACTTCACAATGCCTCCAGCTCAAGCCATCACAATCATCACAAGAGGAGAATTTGCCAGGGATACATCGCTCGTATCCATCATGGTTTCATCATTGCTATCATTCTGCCTGAAGTGGCTTCCGACTAATATGAACTAACGCGAAGTGAACGTCCGGGTCCTCTTTTTTTTCTTATCCGCACCCTCTTTTGCTCGTTTCGCAGCGCACTCGTGAGAGCATTCTTCTGTACGCGTGGCTTGACGTATCCCACGGCGTTGTTCGGAACGCCATGGCCAAAATAAAAGGGTATGAACACTTAAACTGAGATGAGATTTCGTCTGCTGCATGCAATCACTTGTTTCCTCCTAAACTCCTCATTATGAAATTTCTTAGTTCCGGTTCCTGCTCCGAACTCCCTTCAAAGTAGATAAAAGCGATAAAAACGAGTGGAAAAGCTGAATCTTTTTTGAAATACCCAGCAAATAAGCCCGGCGGCTTGGAAAGAGATTGTTGCTGTCCACGGCAAGCTTAAGAACTCTGAGCGAGTCGCTGAAGACACGTGAGCACACCTATAGTCTTATTAGTTACGCGCTGGCAAGCACCCAATGAATAATGGTTAAGAACTTACCGCTGACCCCCTGAGTAAGGGTGGCCGTAGCCTCGGTGCTCCGGCTTCCAAGGCTTACAGTGACTACCTCCTTGACAGAGTTTTGGTGCAGACGGTTGGCCCATTTGAAGACCTTTTCATCCTCCCGTCCATCTCCAACCACCATGAGGAAATCTACCGGAGTAGACTCTGGCTGCCCGTGCAACTTCTCAAATACTTTGCAAGCGGCAGTCTTCTTGGACCAGTCGATAGGCTCCACGATGATGTACCCCTCTTGAGGGATGGCGTGCACGCGTTGCGATTCACAGGCATCATTGACGTGAGTGGCGCATTCAGCTGCGAGTCGGGTGGCAGCCTCTGGGTCATCCGAGCCCTTATAATGGAAGACAAGGCTGCAGTGTCTTTCCTCCAACTCAGCACCGGGGGTTCTCTCCAAAAAGTAGCTCAGGATAGGCCTGACCGAATCTTTCCATGAGTTTATCTGGGTGGTGTCGGCCATTTCTATCCAGTCGTTGCTGCTCGATTCTTTGAGGAAGCAGCCATTCTCAGCGATGAGGCCAAGGTTTGGTACACGGCGGAAGACACGTTCGAGCTCCTCAGGTCTGCGGCCAGACATGACATAAACAATGTTGCGCTCGTCGAGGAGCAGGTCGTTCAGAATGTCTAGGGTCCTCTGGGGGCTTGTTGCAATAATCTGGGAAATCGATCCCCAGCTCACAAGAGTGCCTTCATAGTCGAGGATGAAAAGCCTTCGCTGAGACTGCTGATACTGACGGCAAACCGAGGGGATCGACAGACGTGGAACAGCTGTCTGGTCTCGGGAGTGCTGCTCATTATGCGCCTTGTTGAGCCTGGTGATGAATTCGTCAACCCAGTGGGACCCAGTGTTGTTCGAGACAGCCTTGTACAACTTCTCCCACCGGGTCTGCTTCTCATCAGGCAACATCTCAAGCGCCTTTTGAATCGCCTCGGCACACTGGCGGTAGTCCCAAGGGTTCACAGACAACTCATTCTTGTTGAAAATGGATGCAGTTCCCGTGAATTCTGACAGAATCAGAGAACCATGCTTAGACTCGGGCAGTATGGCTCCGTCCTGGCAGTATAGGTATTCGTGAGAGGTCAGATTCATTCCTTCGCGTTGGCTTGTGATCATGAGCGCGTCGGCAATCGTGAGCAGTGCCAAGTATTGGGCGTAATCAATATCTTGCTTCAGGTACACCACAGGTTGATAAGCCAAGTTGGCCCATGACGAATTGACTCGGGTGACGATATCAGAGACAGTGGCGTCAAGATCGCTACGCTCGCTGGAGAGCGCAACTTGAATCAGTACCGTGTGTCCTCGCCACTGGGGATTCTTATTAAGGAACAGCTCATAGGACAAAAGCTTCTGTCGAACGCCACGGACGTGATCTAGCTTGTCGCGAGCTACGATAAGCTTCTTGTCTTTGTATCGCTCTCGAAGAGTGGCGAGCCACTGAGTGACGTCCTCGTCGTTTCGGTGCTTGCTGAGACTAACAGGGTCAATTCCGATGGCGAGGCTGGCAACGTCGACGAACCGATCCTCAAGCTGGATTCCCTCCGGTGTTGCTTCCACGTTGAGGATGCGGCTGCAGGTCTGAAGGAAGTGGCGTGTATATTCGGGGATCTGAAAGCCAATCAGGTTGGCACCGAGCATGCCTTCGAGAAGTTCCTTGCGAACGGCTAGACACCTAAAAACTTCGGACGAGGGGAATGCCACATGAAGGAAGAAGCCGATCTTAGCTTCAGGGAGCTTCTGACGAATCATGCCGGGCACGAGCAGCAGGTGGTAGTCATGAATCCAGATGACATCGCCTCGCTTCCAATTCTTGATAATCTTATCAGCGAACGCTTGGTTCAGATTGACATAGTATTTCCATGAATGGTCCTCGTAGGCCTTGCTCTTGGGATTATCCGGCATCTGGTAGTGAAAGACTGGCCACAGGATTTGCTTGCAGAAGTGCGTGTAGTGGCCGTCAAAGTCCTTGTCAGTGCAGAAGACGGTCAACATGTCATGCATGGTTGCCAATGTGTCCTCGATATCCTGCTTCTGAGGCGTACCATCGATGGCGTCCGTAGGCATCCCGAGTGTCCCGCACCATGTAAGATCGCCAAGCTTGCCCTCGCGAGCAGCAGCTTCAACAGCATTCCTCAGACCACCATTGCCCTGATCAGCATCAACAACCACCCATGGTGCTGAGGAGAATACTCGGTCGTGCGATTCGCTTCTAACGAGAGGCTTCGGCTGGTTCACTCCCTGGCGACTGAGCTCTTTGGCCTTCTGCATTGTACGGCCATGCTCGGAGATAGCGGCAGGCGGAGGAGAGTTGGCGCGAGAAAGAGGCTGGTTCGGTCGTCCACCCCATGTCGAGGAGCTCTTTCGATTGACTGGCGAAACAAGTTCATTAGGGAACTGCACTCGGAAGCCATCTTCGTTAGCGAATGGGTCGATTCGAAGGGACTCGGTAGGCGTCTGAGGAGGAGTGATGTCGGGTCGAGGGGCGAAGAGGCTGGGAGTGGTGTCGGCAAGTATTGGCTTGAGAGCCTGGATTGGAAACGTCTTGGACGCTTGCAAGCTACCGTGTTTGGCGACTGGCTTTTTCGGCGGGGTGCCCGGAGGAAGATTGAAGTAGACGGTTTTCGGGAGGAAGCTGGTAGAGGAGGTCGGTTAGCATCAAAGAAGTCCCGGCATTCCTGCACAACCCTACACCGCATGTTCTGTGGCATTCCGACCTTGCAGAAGTGTTCTCCTCTGCTAAGCCAGGGTGGCCTGCGAGCACATAGTGACGTGCATATATGGGTGGGCGGGAACAAATGAATTCTAGACTTACAGCGAAACCACGAAGACGGTCATTTTGGCGCTAGTTTGCCGTTGCACGAGGCAAGGGTTCGTCGGCTTGGTTTGTTTGTTTGCTTGTTCGTTCGGTTCGTTCACCTTTTATGGACTAATATGATCGGGTCGAAGACCGAGTCCACTTCAACGAGGAACCCCGTAGGCGATTGGGCAGGAAACTGAGGTACCGAAGCTCCCGTATGGCAAGTTCATATGGAATGTGAGGCGATTGAGGGATTCCGACGAGAAGCAAGGCTGAATGAGGCGCAGGACACTTTATCGATTATTCGAAAGGCCGTGGTGGCGCGCTACAAAGACGGGTTTGCAGCGCCAATCCGGAGCTTGGGCTTCCCAGTGGCTCGAGACAAAGTTCGGCGACGTGGCGATTGATACGCCCGCTACAGAGGCATTCGTTAATTTTTGTTTTTCCCTCTTGTTTGTCGGCCAGGTTCCTCCGACCGGGGTGAGAGGCTCGGGTTTGCGCTGAGGCTGCGAGACAGTGCTGGAAGAATGGATGGGGTACCTGGGAAAATGTAGGGGTAATGGCTGGGCTAGTGCCTGTTTAAGCAGCAATGGGGAGGGAAATTCTGGGCGGGACGCAACAATTTAGCTCGATCCCATCCACCAGACTGACGTAATGACTTCCCCAGAGCCTCAGAAGCTCCTTCCTTTCCTCTTGTCACTTCAATGCGCTTGACAGGTGCGACTTGGAGGAGAAGGTGGAGCCAAACAGATCGTGGCATCGGGAGAAGCAAAGGGAAAAGGAGGTTTCGTTCCGCGCCACGCTGACCAGTTGGGCAGACGGGATTGGCCTGAGCAAAACGTACCTGTACCTGATGGGGGGAAGCAGGCTGTGTGAGATGGGGTGTGGAAAGGGAGGGAGAGGGAAAGTCTAATTGGAAAGCTATGCTTCATGAATAATGTTGATGGGAGATCAATAACCCACTTTGGCTGAAGGGGATGAAAAGAACAGACCAAAACAAGGCAGGGAAGGCTGGAAATTTTGCATGGAAATGGAAAACAAGGAAAAGAAGCCAAAAGTGAAAAAAGGAAAGAGATGTATCTACCTGCCAATAGATTGTGAGATAAAAAAATTATTGGTCACAACCCAACGTGGACAGCTTCGTGGAGACGAACGATTTGCTTGGCTACGTTAGATCCGCAGGTCCTTTCTTTTCTCGGGTGGTTTTAAAAGTAGGCTGTGGTCCGTGGATGAGAAAGGCCGTGGGCGCCGCCAAGAGGGCTGAGGTGATACAGCTGACGGGCGGCCGGGATACGGGGGTGATGGAGTTTGGCTTTGGAAGATGGGCGAGGCCAGCGAGATAAATTTGACGATCAACTTTGGTAATTACATATAAAGGAGTGGCAGTGGTAGTAAGAAGACAGTGTCTTGAGAATGGCCATCTTATGTCGGAGCCTATGGTACGGGTGGGAGAAGATGAGAGTGTTGCAAACTAGGTGAGCGACGGGCGCCCTAGCCTCATATACTACGAAAAGGAAGCTCCATCACATTGGGTCCTCACGATACTTGCAGCGCAGCAAGGTACCTTGGCTACAGGCCGCCTGAGTGAGCATGCGCTGTTGGGCTGAAATCCGAAATGGACCCAGCACCTTCGCTTCATATTTCCCCGCCGCTGAGCCGAGCGTTCACCATCCCCCTTCGGCTGTGATTCAAAATAATAGCTCTGTTGCTTCTGCGAGAAGAGGAGGGTGGGTGTGTGCTCTGGCCGTTTTCTGCGGACTTGGTTGCCACGAAACAGGGGTAGGGTGGTTCAGTTGGAATTGGTGGTCGGTATTGGCATCTCTGTGCAGGTTGTACCAGTACAGCAGGTACCTGCCTTGCCTCGAAACACACAATAGCAGTCATTGATTCATCATTCTCACATCTCCCGGCGCTTTGACTCGTCGACGTGCCCATAAGCAAGCTTGACGGACAGACACCCCTACCCAACCTGTGGCCACCTACTTCAACCTACAGACAGCCGGTTCCAGTCCAAGATCCGATTCGAGGCCGCCCGTCAAGAGATCTTACAGTGCTAGTTGCCGCCGGAGCTCCAACCCTGCAGTAACATGTGGCGAGCAAGGGAGCTCCCGTTGGATGGACGCAGTTGACCTCCACGCACCACATGCACCCAACCCTGTTGGCCTGCAAGGTCGTAGCTGTTCCTCCTTGCCAGTTCCAGATTGCTTTGGGATTGCGAAATGCAGCATGTCATGCATGATGGAGGACCTAGCCAGATTTTGGCTCCAAGTGCAGCGCATGGAGGCATTTTTTCTTGCCTCCAGGTGCTCTCCCACCCTGAGGTTAGAAGCAAGCTTTGCTTTTTTCCCTTTTTTCTCTCCCTCTAGCGTCACGGTTCCCTTCTGCGGGCTGTCTTTCCTTTCCCATCCCGATCCGAGACTAATTGCTAACTGCAGCAGGTCTAGTAAGATCCCTAGCCAGAGAGGGGTACCGTCAATATGGTGTGACGTACGTATCTCAATCCTGAAGTCCTTGGCCTGGGCATAGCTTTACCCCATCCATCGGTCTCTTGTTCTTGGCCGAATGTCAATTTTTCTGGGTAGTTCTTCCCCGCCCCGGCCGTGGTTCCTGGAATGGGGAAACACCTACATGTAAGCTCCAGAGAAGCTGGTACCGCTCAACGGCCATTGGCACCACGCCGATCGCAGGTGATCTTTTCAGTCGCCCTGGTCGTTGGTAGCGGCATCCCTCTGTGGTGTTACGCGTCTAAAACAATACCCATCATGTAGGTCTCTGAAAATGTGATCATGGATGGTAGGCTGCGGCGCAAACAAGCCATCCAACGGAATGTATGCATCATGGCTGGCAGCCAACCAACAACAGCGTGAGTCAGGAAACCCGGGGACCAAAAGGGAGAAGTGTTGCCGCACTATACATGAGGCACATAGCATGGGTGACAGATGCGACATGAGCATCCTCTACGGGCTGTGATTTTCCAAACCAGCTCAATGAGGCTGACCGGGGAGAGCTGTCATGATTCTAGACCGAACCTAATGGTAAGCAAACACGTCCGAGCATACCCTCGATGACAGGCGTAGGACGATCAGTCACATCTCCCTGACGTTGCGTTGCGTAGCCACCGGTCAAAGCCTCGTCGGCGCGTCGTGACTTCTCAGCGCCTCCCGTCCCTCCATCGCGAGCCCGGCCCGGTTGCTCATGTGGAAGGCTGTGCCCTGTGATTGACTATGCTTAAGGTGTGTATGCCAGTGCAGCGCATATCCCACACTTACTGGCAGCCTGCAGATGGGCGGCACACTATAATCCCAAGTACTCTACCTTCTTCGCGGGGAGGGGGGGATCGGATAGAACCGGCGTTCTGGAATCATCCTCCACAGAAGATGCAGGGTGAGTGCCCTATCGATTTCCCCCTAGCTCATGACCTTTCTTTCCCCCATGTACGAGTACTGGCTTTTCCATCAATCTCAGGAACTTCGGACAGGTCCCTCCAGAGGAAAATAATTGGCCGGCATGGACCTCAATGTCACCCCACGACACTACCTCCCTCCCATCGAATTCTTCGCATGGTCTCGGTCTTCAGGCTTCGGCGCTGCTCTCGGGGATTGTGGCACTCTACACCATTAGCTGCTCTCCAGAAGCCGAATATTGTTTCCCCCCATTTCCGCGACGGCACCATGCCCCCGTACGGCCGAAGGAGCCATGTCGCTATCTCGCTTGCTCTAACCGCGCTTAACATATTGCAGTTCACGATGCTGGTTCATTTTTGTACTTCGCCCCCTTTTGGCTCACGAGCTCCATTTCCAATAGCTGGTGGATGTATCGTTTGCCATGTGATTGAGCCAACGGAAAAGCCAGCTGCCACGCAAATATGGCTCACTGGTTTTCCGTGGTTCTTGGCATACCCACATTCTGGTGGCTTTTGCATCGTCCTTGTGAGGTTGGTTTCTCCTTCATCCATCAACTCATTAATAATAGCAGCATGAGGGGTTCACACCTCTGGTGATCGTCGCACCTCGACGGGACTTCTCCAAAGATGGGCCCGCTAGCATAACCCGTGTTTGAATATTCAAAAGATATTGGATTCTTTCATCAAGTCTAGAAATAGCTTTAAAGTCGTTCCACATTCTAGCTTGACAGGCCTGCTCCCAACGTACGTATAGAGTTACAAAGAACTATCTGAGTAATTAACCCGGCTTAGACGGTCTGCGGGCCGCACCGAGTTATGCCTTGCCAATTTAATCTCAATCTTACATGAATCGAGCCGGAGCTTTCATGCTGCCTGCCTGGCGACTCCCAAGGCAACGTAGGAGTATTGATGCAACTCGTCCCAGACAACACTGCCAGAAACTAGCCATGCCGGTCTTCTCAAACTGGACATGTACTATGCACGTATGTATGCACCTGCGAAACTAGTCCCGGTCATGCCCCGTCCAGACTCTGGCCCCTCCACAGACGTCAATTGTGATACGAGTGTTGCTTCTACCTGGGCCATATATCCCAATTGATGGGCTGCTTGCCTCACTCTGCTGCCTTGTTGGAACAGCCCTTTCGCGGTGGGGTTGACCGAGGTAATCGCCGGCCTTTTTCAAGAGGGTGAATGGTGACCGGTTTTCCAGCCGACCACAAGAGACCAATGCGTCCGCATAAGCGAATGTAAGTCAGGGACAACTACAACCCCAAGATCCATTACCTTGTTTCCTCCACGCAATCCGCTCAAGGGGGCGTGCAATAACACACTGGATAATTACCTGATCCCCATCGATCGAGCTCCCGGAATGGAAAGGGGACGGCGAGGTACATGGCTAGCCTTGGCTCTAGCACTTCAGCTCGTCCCGGGACCGGATACTGTGCGGCGGCCGCATTGACAGTTCAACCTGATCTTGATCCTGGGAGGTATCAGATTCACTAAAGCCTTGATCGCGCTGGGTGCTGAACCAATCAGTTGCCCTACCAGCCGCTTCGGCCCCAGTGTCCGTCAATCATGAACGACACTAATTGCCGTGCCGCTGGAGGGAACTTATCTCGAAATCAATAGACACAC